TGCCCCCAGCTGCCCCCATTTTTCCTAATTTAAAGGCAGATTAAATTATAATCCAATCAATCACAGTGCTTTATTATGAAATGCTGAACCTTCACCTCCATACCTTTACCCACTTTCCTCCTAGCTCTTACCCATCCTCCGTAAATAAGGAAACTTACTTAGTATTTCTGGGCTGTTTAAATGTAATTTTTAAAAGGACTAGATATATAAAGGTTAATGTAAAAGGATAGGAAGCATTATCCTGTGGCTAGAAACCTAATGGATTGACATATTCCAACCTAACCATATTTCTACCTAATAGATGGAATATGAATTTTAAGGGTGTATACCTTATACCATTTTATTTCCATGTTATTTTTGTCTTGGATAAAATCATCTATGTCAGGGCACACTAGATATCCAGCACTTGAAGTGATTAGAACTTGTTGATAGGAAAGGTTTTGCAAAGATGCTTCTGACTTCTTAAAGACCTTTAACTCAACAGACATTGTGGCGCAATAAGATTCATTCCTGTAAAGAGATGACAGATAGCATTTTGTTATATCATATACATGTAGAAGGAATGTCCAAGAGGTAGAACAGTAGAGTGAAACAAGCACTGGATCAGAAGACCTGAATTCAATTCCAGGTTCTATTATTTCCTAATTACAAGAAACCTTCCTAATTACAGTGTTTCTCTCAGCCTCAGTTTCCGCATCCATGAAGAAGCCATAATAATTGGCCAATCTCATTCATAGGATTATCAAGCTGATCCAATTAAATAACGCATAGGGAGGTGCTTTCTAAATTATAAAAACTTATAGGAACATAAGATTATATGTTAAATTACATGTCATGATAATATTGAAGGAATATTATTATCAATACATTAAGTTTAATGTGGAATACATTTGCATAGGCTTTATCATTTATAATTCATTTTCATTTTAAAAATAATAATTATAATAGATAATTTAATATCACAAGTAACCTTTTCACATGCCAAAGGAGATACCTTTGAAACATTCTGCTTGTCTTCTGATAAGAAGTCCATAGTATCATAAGATTTAGAATAAGAAGAAACCTCAAAAGTCATCTAGACCAGGTACTCCTTCTACAGCATCCTAAACGAGTAGCCTCTCAGCTTTTGTTCAAAGAACTCTAGGAAGGGGAAAAGCCACTACATTGCAATGCAACCCATTCAATGCTTACACAGTTCTCACTGTTAGAAAGCTTTCCTTTATGTCAAGTCAAAACTTACCTTCATATACCTTTCGTCCATTACTTCTAGTTCTGCCCCCAGAAGCCAAGTAGAAAAATCTAATCTTTCCCTGCAATTATTTTGCATTTGCCACACATGGATTTTGTAGACATGTTGTTCACTCTCTGCCCAACTAGAATGTAAGCTCCTTGAAGTCAGGAACTAGCTCATATTTGTCTTTTTATCCTCAAAGTCTAGTTCAATGTCTGAACAGTAAGGGTTTAATTGAATTTAAATGAATCAGATTGAATTGAAGACAGAAAACATATATACGAATATACAGACTGTTATTTATTGTCTCTGTGACTCCGGGCAAGTCACTGTGGTTCCTATTCTCCTGTCAAAAAGAGGTAGTGGAACTAAACCAGATGGTCCTGAAAGTCTGCCCCACCTTTTGATCTATAAACATATCATGTGTGTGTGCATGCACATACACAGAGATGTGTAGATCTATTTAATATAGATGCATGGATATGTCTATATTATATAGACATACATGTATACATGTATGCAATATATCCACATATATCTATGTCATAGATACATGTCTGTGTGTGTATATTTATGTTATATAGATAAATGTGTATATAGATATCTAGATCTATAGTATGTGATTTGTTATATAGATATATGTGTCTATGTGTGTATATATCTATGTTATATAGATGTATGTGTATGTAGATATCTAGATCTATAGTATGTGATTTGTTATATAGATATATGTGTCTGTGTGTATATATCTATGTTATATAGATGTATGTGTATGTAGATATGTAGAGCTATATTATACAGCTATAGGTGTATATATGTATATATCTGTCATGTAAACATTTGCATATATGTATAACATAAATACATGTGTATATATTCCTTTATCTATATAATATGTAAATGTGTAGATCTATTGAATATAGACATGTATATGTGCCTATATTATAGATATGTGTCTATATGTCTACATTGTATAGATGTGTGTATATATGTTGTCTATATATGATATAGTCACATATATTTATGTTCTATAGATATATATATCTGTGTGAATATATTTGTTATATAGAAATGTGTATATAGCTATGTAGATCTATATCATACAGATAGATGTATATATATGCATATGTATGTAGATATGTAAATATGTATAATATAGATATATGCATATATGCATGCATTTATCTATATAATATAGATACATACATGCTAAGACAATTGTATCTCTCTCTCCCCCAACTCCAAGTTGCCCAATCATCCTGGTCAGATTAGTGATGGCTTTTCAGACAGCCAAATACCTAAATATTTGTCATGATGGGCCCAGGTTGAGTCAAGGGTCTTTTGTTCCCACAATCCTAAATCCTAGCCCAACTTCCTGGAAACTTCCCCTATCCCAACTCGCCACAATTGGGAGCCAGCCCAGCACTCCAGGGAAAGGGCATGGAAAAATCACAGCAAGAAAACTCATTTCTGTGAAACAAATGGCTTGGTGGATCACACACCCATTAAAAAAAAAAAAGTTGCCAATACCCTAAGTAGCAAGAGAGCAAGCCTCCTGTTGTATTGCTAGAAATACAACACCTTCAATAGGTAACTTCTGTTTGAATTCCTATCTATTAAAAAAAATAAAGACCTAGTTTATTTCAAGATCTTTATAAAAAAAACTTAAAAAAGCAAAAATTATCACTTGGTATTAAGCATTCTCTTTTTTTTTTTTTTGCTACGCAATGGGGTTAAGTGACATGCCCAGGGTCACACAGCTAGTAAGTATCAAGTGTCTGAGGTTGAATTTGAACTCAGGTCCTCCTGACTCCAGGGCTGGTGCTCTACCCACTGTGCCACCTAAGCATTTTCTTAAAACACAAATTTTCAAATGGTGGGTGGACAAAAATGCCTCATTAACACACATCTCACTTTTGGTTCAGGTTCCTTTCTTATTCAGTTATCACCTGCTTGGGAAAATTCTCTTGCATTGAGAGTATCCTCTATAGTGGGGGTTCTTAGCCTTTTTTGTGCCATAGACCCCTTTGGCAGTCTAGACTCTAAAGAAACCTATGAACCCTTTCTCAAAAAAAGTGTTTTCAAATACATAAAATAAAATATGTAAGATTTCAAAGGAAATTATGTTGAAAGTTATAAAAAATTATCTTTAACTCACATACCTCAGGATAATGGAGAAAGGGTTAAACTTGGAATCAATTGACAATGGGATTTGAAACACATCTCCAATATCTTAACTATATAACCATGTAGAAAACTCTCATTATTCTCTGTCTCAATCTCCTCATCTGTAAAATGAGGTTAAATAATGAGCCTAGTGTCTACCTCACAGGATTGTTGTGGAGATCAAATGAGATAATGGATCTAAAGTGTTTTGCAAATCTTAAAATATTGTATATAATCACAATAGCCAACTGCAATTATTTTTGTTGTTCAGTTGTATCCAAATCTTCATGCCCCTTTGAGGTTTTCTTGGCACATACTGGAGGGGTTTGCCATTTCCTTCTCCAGCTTATTTTACAGATGAGGAAACTGAGGCAAACAGGGTTAAGTGACTTCCCCAGGGTCTCACAGCCAGTAAGTGTCTTAGGCCACATTTGAAGTCAGGTCTTCCTGACTCCAGGTCTGACACACTGTCCATTGCACCACCTAGCTACCCATTGGAATTATAACCTTCACCAAGAAGGCATGCCAAAAGAAAATAGGTGTTCTCTATTAAGATCCAAAAAGAGAATCAGACAGGTGTGGTTGTGTTAAATTAATGTTCTATTACAAACTGAAATCTTCTCCTACACTTGTGACAATGGAGCACCAACTCTAAAAATTTCTATCCAGCTGAAAAAGCTATAGTATGGGCTTGGTGACATTGTCATCAGCTAAGGACTAGTATTCTTAAATTTGGAAAAACATCACCAGAGGGTTGGCCACTGAGTAATTTTTATTAATCAGAGAAACTCATGAAGACTATTAATGAAGGTCCAGAGAGGGAAGGATCTATGAAAGAAATACAATAAATATGTCACTGATCCTTGAAATATTGAAGGATAAGTTGAAATTGAATAGTGCTGGATCCCCTTCCCCCAAATGCTAGTGCCTTCCTTCCCAAATTACTTTTTTATTAGCATTATTCTCTTAATGTTTATTCTACATGTAAGTTTTAATAAGTTAAAGTTATATGGAGATCTTTGGGGGCAACATGATCTTCTCAGTTAGAAATGAACTCACTTATGCATTCATCCTGTTCTAATTTGTGTCATATTTATCACACCATCTTAATCCTCCTAGTAGATTGCAAACTCTTTGAAGGCACAGATCGTAGCTTATTTCATCTTTGTAGCCACACCATATATGTGGCCCAATGTCTACCGCATAATGACGTTTAATGAATTGAACTGAATTATGTTAAGCATTTCTTTGTTGTTTTTTAAAATGCAACTCCCAGGAGGGTTTCATAACACTTTTATCACATCAGGAAGGAAAACTAATTGGAGCTGGACGAGATGTGGAAGAAGAAAAGTATCTAAAAGTGAACGTGATGGACTCATTTCATAATTCTTTCTAATCAATCAGTAAGCATTTTTCAAATGTCTACTATGTGCTAGGGCAGTGGAGAGAGCACCAGGCTTGAAGTCAGGAAGGCACTAGCTATGTGACCCTGGGCAAGTCACTTAACCCTGTTTGCCTCAGTTTCCTCATCTGTAAAATAAGCTGGAGAAGGAAATGCAAAGCACTCCAGTAAAAGAGGCAGCCACTCCTGAAAACGACTGAACAACAACTGTGTGGTAGGCTTTGTGGGTACAAAGACAAAAATAAAACAGTCGCTACTCTCAAGACCTGACATCCCACCTAAGACAGGTCTTCTCTATAAGAAAGTTTTTCAAAAGAACTAGAAAGAAGAGCAATGCCAGTCCCATTGAAATAAGGGGAGTCATTTGTTAAAATAACAGAGCAGGAGGCAAAGTCAAGATGGTAGAGTGAGAAGCAGCAATTGATCCTAGCTCACCACTGTCTCTTTTCCTCAACAATCTTGAAAATATCCCACTCCAAAATCTGATCAGGAAAGATAAGAAAAGTCACAGTGAGTTATTTTTCCATCACATGGCAGCATAGGGGGAAAGAAGAGAGTCTGTAGCAAATGGGGAAACACACACACACACACACACACACACACACACACACACACACCCCCATCCATTTCCCCTTCCCAACTCCCACCAACATCACTTTACCTAAAGGTGCAAATGTAAGTTCCCGTGTCCTCTGGTGTCGCTGGCAAAATCCAAAGAGCATTATCTTTCATCCATGTTCTGCCTGATTTGTGGGTTCCTAGAACAGTCTTCTCGGAATCATTTTTATGCCATGACAGGTCGGAGTGGAGAGTGAAGAGGACCCTGTTGCCGAGCTTCGGGAAAGGGCTGTTCAGGACAACAGGTTCTCCTTCTAGCCTGAATTTTTTAAAATACATGCCGAGATACTGGCAGTTTTCTACGGTCAGAAGGAGTCAGAGAGGTCACAGTTAGCCTTTGATTCTCGCGACTGCATGAAAAAGCAGCAACTGGCAGTGGAAAGAACTTTGAATTCTATCTCTGCCACTACTTCTTTGTGTGACTTTAAGCAAGTCATTTCTTGGCTCCGGGCATTCTCTCTGGCTGTTCCCCATGCCTGGAATGCTTTCCCTCCCCCATTCCAACTACTCACCTCCATGGCTTCCTTTAAGTGCCAACTAAAATCTCACGTCTTACAAAAAGCCTTCCCCAACCCTTTTTAATTCCAGTGCCTTCCCTCTTAATTATTTCCTATTTATCCCGAATATAGCTTGCTTTGTATACATTTGTCTGCACATTGTCACCCCCATCAGATTGTAAGCTCCTTAAGGGTAGGGACTATCTTTTGCCTCTTTTTGTATCCCCAGCATTTTAATGCTGGCTCTCGGTGCCTGGCTCCTGGTAGATACTTAGATAAATGTTTATTGAATTGAACTGAACTGAATTTCACCCCTCTGTTGGTCAGTTTCCTCTAGGTTCAATTCTCATCTCTCTATTAACTGTGTGACCTTGGCAAGTCACTTAACATCTTCTAGGAAAGAAGAAAAAGCTAAACGAATTCCTCATCTGTAAACTGAAAGGGTTGGGATCCATTCCAGTTCAAAATCTATGACCACCGATTTCTAAAACACAATATATTTACTGTATCTAGACCATGTCAAAACCATGGGCCGTCAGCCAATCCAGTCTCCAAAAAAAAAAAAAATGCTCTGTAATTTCAAAGAAGGAAAAATTACAAAGCCAGTTTGATCTGATGAAATTGAAAATAATCAGCTGCTCTGACCACTTTCTCCTGATTTCCCTCAATCAGAAGGGATTCGTCCCTCAATGAACTCTCTGACACTTGATTTGTACCTCTCCTGTGCTTCCACACTCTACTGCATCCAACTTCCTTGAAATATACTTTCCTCTTTGTAGCCCTACTACGTAGCATGGTACCTGGCATATAGAAAGAACTTGATAAATGTTTGCTGATTGATTGTCTGAGTACATATCTTTTCTCCATCTGCTAGACAAGTAAAGGCAGGAGATATAATGTGGCTTGTTCATCATTGGATTCTCATTAGGACCTAGCATGTTGCCTTGGATTTGGTTGTTGAATTGAATTGACCATATTTTACATTTTTCAGTTAGTGTCTCACATACACACACACACACACACATGCAGCCATTGAAGTGTCATGTTCAGACAAAATAATCCCCTTCCACACAGGAAGAAAAAAAAATGCAGACAAACTAGTTTCCACTCATCTGATTTGGTTTTTTACCTGTGCTTTTCTCAGGCTGAATGCTAGAAGCAGAAATATTCACTGCCAATGCATAGAAAAAGAAGAAAAATCCAAATAATTTCTGGAGGCAGGAAACTGAAAGCTGAGGTCCAGTATCTAGAAATCTAGAAAAAGTGAGAAAGGTCACACAGGAAACCACAAGCCAACCAAAGAGTCCCACATGTCCCCTGAGGGAATATTACAAACAGGCCCAGCAACACTGTAAAATTGGTCATTAACAAAGAGGCTAGATAGAGCAAAGGATCTCTTGGGTCCTCTATAGCCCAAAGTCATAACTTTATAATTCCAGGATGGCAGATTTAGAACTGAGAGGGAGCTTAGAAGCCAACCTCCTCATTTTACAGTTGAGGAAACTGAGATTCAGAGAGGAAGTGAGGTGCCTATGAGCAGACAGATCACAAATGCCCCTGGCTCCGAATCCCTCATTCTTATTATTGTACACGGAAGGCAATGAAGAGCTAGCTAGTGTACCTCCGCCTGAAATTTCCCATGGGGGAAGGAAGTCTTAGGTCACTGAGATTAGAGCACTTGGGAACAGCAAGACTCCTTTTGCCGATCTGCTCCCTCCCCCCCCCCCAAGGGTTGAAACTCCCATTACTTAAGCATTATGTGAAGAACTTGGACAGGATTTGAGAAAAAAATGAAAATTATTAGCAATGATTCAGTTCTGGGTGCCATATTTTTAGTTATTGTTGTTTAGTTGTTTCAGTAGCGCCCAATTCTTTGTGACTCCTTTTTTGGGGGGTTTTTGGCAGAGATACTGGAGTGGTTTGCCATTTCCTTCACTAGCTCATTTTACAGATGAGAAAGAGTTAAGCAACTTGCCCAGGTGACACAGCTAGTAAGTGTCTGAGAACAGATCTGAACTCAAGTTTTCCTGATGCCAGGCCCAGAGCTATATCCACTGCACCACTTAGATGCCCCATATAGCTGCTGCTTTTTTAGGAAGAGCATTGATAAGGTAATGGATGAGGAAGGGCATCAAGGTCATGCTATTCTGTTGTGCAAAAATTTTTAGTGGTTCTTTATTGCCTATAGGATAAAATACAAATGTCTCAGATTGTCATTTAAGTACCTCCAAACTAGAGCCAGCCTTCACTTCCCACTAGCTCTTTTATATTCTCTCCATTCCAGCTGAACTGGCCTATTTGCTGCTCCCCTGAATTCAATACCGTTGTATAAGCTGTTATTCATGCTCAGTATGCCCTCTCTCTTCAATTCCATCCTTTAAGATCCTTCACTTTCTTCAAGGCTCAGCTCTATTGCTCTTTTCTTGCCTAGCTTCAATTTTTTGAAATGTTCACTTGTGTGAAATATTCCATTCTATAACAATCCTGAATAAATGGAGACTCACTATACTGTACATAACTTTATACTTATAGATTAGGTTTGGTTGTTTGTTTTTTCTTTTTGGTGAGGCAACAAAGTTAATTGACTTGCTGAGGGTCACATAGCTAGTAAGTGTCGAGTGTCTGAGGCCATATTTGAACTCAGATCCTCCTGACTCCAAGGCCAGAACTCTATCCACTGTACCACCTAGCTGCCCCTAGATTACACTCTTTAGACTTCTCCTTAAGTCACTCTAGATGTGTTATTTCCTCAAATCATATGGTAAATTCCTCAGAGATAAGAATCATATCTTCTGTTTATTTGGTTATCTCCCAACCTACATTATCTGCACAAAGAGATACTCAGTATTTACTTACGTGGTTCAAAAGGTCCAAATTTCCTCAGTGTAAGTACTACTTTCATCAACACATACGGCACAGTAGAGTGCTGACCTTGGAGTCAGGAAGGCTTGAGTTCAAATCCAGCCTCAGACACTGGAAAGTCACTTAACCTTTATTTGCCTCAGTTTCTTTTGTTTGTAGTTATCTGCAAAATAGGGATAATACTGGCACCTACCATATAGAGTTGAGGTTTTGTGCAAATCAAATGAGCTAAGAATTGTAAAGTGCTTAGCACAGTGCCTGGAGCATAGTTAAGTGTTACATAAATGTTAACTATTATTATTCCATGTCTTAGGAAATAATACTCCATGAGGGGCCATGGCCAAATGAAATGTTGGCCTTGTGGCCAGACTTCTGGCAATGAGCCTTGCTGAATTTAGTGAGCCCAGTCCTCAGATGACAGTCATGTGGTCTGCCAATGGTTAGGACCATCCCTGAAGCCATTCTGTCTTTGGAGTTCCTGCCTTTGAGCTGCCAGAGCCTCCAATGTAATTCACCATCACTTCCACACCGCAATGAAGTATCAGAGGAGGACATAAGTCAAGGGTTCTCAACGCATATGATTAAAATATGGTTCCATTTTCTGCCAAAAGGAACTCAAATTTGGACTGAGGACAAAAGCTAATCACTGTCCATCAGATTGGGTTTGCAGCAATGGACAACTTTGGAAAGAATAGTTGGTGTTTCCACAATAGGACATTTATTGTGATTCCATTTGGCCCGGGAGATTTTAGGCCCATTTATCTTTGCTTTTTATAGAATGTGGCCCACCATGAGGCATCCCAGAGGTGGGGAACCTGCGGCCTCAAGGCCACATGTGGTTCCCCACCCCTGAGGTAGCCTGAAAGGTCCGAGAGAACTAATATATTAGACTGTAAGCTTCTTAAGGGCAGGAAATATTTCTTTTCTTTTTATTTTCTCTTTATATTCCAATAGGCATTTTATAAATGAAATTAAATTTCCTCAATCCCCTAAGACTAGGACACAATCATGGTAAACGATATTGCTGACTCTGCAGAAGAGTCCTAGAAGTTGTCCTTGGAAACAAGGAAAGTAGGGAGGTTCAAGAAATTACTAAATAAGGTCTTACAGAGTCAGTGGTGGTCCTAGGAGCAAAACCCAAAGCAGCTGCCACTCTGATAAAGTCATAGTGAGTGGAAGGGAAGTGTGCTGGAATGAATCTTTGAAATAATTAATTTCCGATTACAAAACTAGAACGTCTGAAGGAAGAAATCTATGGTTGACAAATGTCAAGAATTTGATTCAATTTGACAAATATTTATGAAGTGGTATAGTGAAAAAGCCAATAACACTAGGGGAAAACCTGGGTTCAAATTCTGTCTCTGATATTTACTACCTGAATGACTTTAGGCAAGTCATTTAAACTCCCTGGGCCTTAGTTTCTACATCCATAAAATGAAAAGGTAGACTAGATGGTCTTGGAGATCCTTTCTATTTCTAAGTCTATGATCTTATGATTCAAAGTGCATACTATGTATAAAACATTATTCTAGGATTTAGGGGCACAATGATAAAATAAAATGCAGATCTGTCATCAAAGGAAAGCTAGGTGGTGCCATGGATAGAGTGCCAGGCCTGGATTCAGGAAGACTCATCTTCCTGAATTCAAATCCACAGGTTTCAGACACTTACTGGCTATATGACCCAGGGCACTTAACCCTGTTTACCCCAGTTTCCTTATCTGTAAAATGAGCTGGAAAAGGAAGTGGCAAACCACTCTAGTACCTCTGCCAAGAGCACCCCAAATGGGGCCATAAAGACACAGATATGACTGAAAATGACTACCATCAAAGAAATCACAGTCTGGAGGGGGGAGATAGAATATAATATGTCTACACATGTAGCCATGATGTCAGGAGAAATACAGACAAAAGAGTGGCCAAAAATTTGGCACTCTCTCCTGTAGTCTTAATAGCTATAGCTATACTATAGGTCAGATAGCAGTTCTTAGCTACAAATATGAACCCATAGTACTTAAAAAGCCTCAGTAGGGGCAGTGCAGTGAATAGAGGACGGGCCCTGGATTCAGGAGGACCTGAGTTCAAATCCTGCCTCAGACACATAACACTTACTGGCTGTGTGTCCCTGGGCAAGTCACTTAACCCCATTGCCTAGCAAAAAAAAAAAAAAAGCCTCAGTGAACTCATATGATGAAGAGATGACTTACAGGTGAGGATGGTAGAAAGCGCTTTGGTAGACTTGCATTCTAGTCCCTGGTCTCATACTAACTAATGTCTGTCTGGGAGATCAATTAGCCAATCAAATAGCATTTATTACATACCTTCTAAGTGATAGGCACTGTACTGAGCTCTGGGAATATAAAACCAAAAATGAACATGTCCCTGCCTTCAAGGAGCTTACATTCTGTCAATAAAACACAAATTCTCTGGGTTTGTTTCTTCAAAAGATGAATGTTCTTGAATTCTCTTACAGTCTTCCCATCCTATGATTTTCTTTCTTTGGAATGTAACAAATGATAAGCATTCAAAACTGGACTTGCCCTTTACATAAAACACTTCCATACTTCTCTAGTTATATGATTAGTTCATTTTTTGTTTGTTTTGTTTTTTAAGTAGTGAATCACAAACATCTGGCCAAGCCTTAGGATATTGGATAATTGGGGGGGCACAGGTCAATACAAACTAATAAAAATCTGTATTTTTAAAATTTTTAAAAGAAACATAGTTTTCTTCCAAGGATTTTCAGTAACAAGCCAGGACTAACAATGCCTAGATAAGCTATTTGGTGGTGAAGAAAGCTTGAGACCTTTTTTTGGTAAATAGAGAACATATTTATTATATTGGTGGATTAAGTATTTAAAGAACAATTGTTTTAAAATTTATGCATATCCTCTGTGATTTTACAAATCGTTCATTTGCTTAACAAAGTCCCTTTTTTAGTTGACATAGCGATAAATCCAGGCTCAAGTGGTCACACATACTTAAATATGCAAAGTTTGAATTAAAGAGATTGTGGTACAGTGGATAGAATGCTAGCCCTGGAGTCAGGAAGACCTGAGTTCAAATCAAGCCTCAGACACTTAATTGTGGGACCCTGGACAATTTGCTTAATCCTCTTTGCCTCAGTTTTCTCATCTGTAAAATGAACTGGAGAAGAAAATGGCAAAACATTCCAGTGTCTTTGCCACGAAAACCCCAAAGTCAGGAGAGTCAGGACTAAAATGACTCAACAAAAATAAATAAACACGTTTCCAAATCATTGAAAAAAAATACATTCTTTTGGGTCACTTAGATAGTTTCCCAATAAGCTCCCAAGAGTTTCCCAAAAGGCTCAAAGTTTAGAGAATAGAATGTAGGGACACCTATCAGCTGTGTGACCATGGGCACAGAGCT